TGACTGTATGATCTGGTTGAACTGTAAAATGCCTTAAGATGACATGTGTTTTGAATTGGCGCTGTATAAATAAACTGAACTGAATTTAATTGAGTGCCCAAGCATAGCTGTCGAATCTCCCATCTAGCATCACATCGGGTCACCTTAAAATATATTAGCTGTGTACAAGTTTTTCTGTAACAAATATTAAGTGTTGTTTTTTATGTATCAGTTCCTGTGTCATGCAATAAAATGCAAAATAATTGCTTGTGATTTTTTAAAAGTTTTGTTTTGGATTATGTCAGTCAAAGTTGAGTCGCCTATCAATGATAAAATGATGAAAAGCTGCAAAGCCAACAGTGTATCAAATACTTGTTCTCCCCACTCTATGCTTAATTAAAAAAAGCAAATAAATGTTGTTTTTCTACCTTAGCAAATAAAGTAACACCCAGGTGTTATTTCTGGAGAGCATCATTTCTGATCTTTGATATTTCAGACATCATGTTGGAGATTATTTGTTGAACTCAGCAGCTTTTCGGGAACCTCTTGACATTTGTGCAGCAGGAGCTAATACTGGGAGGTTTGGAAGAGAAAAAAAAGGACAGTTTTTCATTATGTAGGCCATCCTCTAAGCTTTTGTGTTGGAAACAGTAGGAATGAAAGGAGGGGCAGGCACAATGGGAGTAACTCCATAAAACACTGCAGCTGCTGTCAGTCAAGAGCAAAATAAAAACAAATACAAGAAAATAACAAAGCTCCCCACCCTTGCACATCTCTTACTCAGTGTCACATAAAGTGTGATCGGTCTGTTGTTAAATAGATTAGAAACGATTTAATGCGGTGAGCAACCAGAGACATCTGAAGGGCTTCACCCTCCTCCTCCTCCTACAAACCCCTTCCCCTCCAACCGCCTCTAAAAAATAAAATGATTATAGTTATATAAGTTTTCCTCCCACTCCCTCAACACCCTTAGCCATCAGTAGGGATGTTGTCATGGCAACGTCCGCCCCTCCTCTGAACGTCACCATCGGTAGCTGGAGGATGAAGCCGCATGCAGCTCCCGTCTCTCTCAGAGCCTCTCAGAGGGCAGCTGTGATTTGCACCGTCTCACATGCAGGTGGGAACTGCTGCGGCGTGGTGAAACAATCTTCTCATGACTGTTCTGAGTCGTTCCAGCTGCTCCTCGTCTCCCACCCTCCCCATTAGAAGCCAAGGGACCAACTGACCGAGCTCCTCCACAGGTAAGCATGGATCCGTTTGCATTTTTATGCATTAGTTGTTTGCCTGGATTACTTGCAGAGGCATTTAGTAGCTTAATGTGCATTTGAATCTCTCCTCATCCATGTTCTGAACTGTCCTCGTCCTTGTCCTCTACCAGCCGTTATGTCCTGGTTGTTCTTGGACTGGTTCGTGCCCCTCTACCTGCTAGTGTCGGTTCTGGTGCTGGCAGGCTTTGGAGCGTGCCTGTACTTCCTCGAGCCCGGGCTGCAGGACGCCCACAAATGGAGCAACAAAACAATCCGGCATCACCCGCTGGTGGCCAGTGTGAACTGCAGAGATGACGATAGCAATGCCCTGATCTGATGGAATGGGTAGCAAAGGACCCATCCAGACTGGGGCGCAGACAGGACATTGAAGGGACAGTCAGGGGAGGGGAGAAGGGGGGGACCTTGCCAGCTAAAAGAGGAGGAAGATGAGGATCATTTATCATTCCAATTTTTCTTTGCTCTCTGTGGGTTTTCCCAGCAGGGATCAGGGAAAGTGTGGCAGACATGCAGGGTCACAGAATCAGATTCTCATGTGATTCAGAAACATGTTTCCCTTTACTGTTTATAGATCTGATGCCATCCTATATAATTGTGCCAACTTTTTGCATACATTTTGTAATTTGACAATCACTTTACGTCCGACACAAAGCCAACTTTTTTCATGCATTTGTTCATAGTAAAGTGAATGATGTAATTCTCCTGCTACTGGGGGAGCTTTTTTTTTTGTCATCTTTTTTTGTAATCTTCTCCCTGATGTCTGCACGGCAGCTGTTGAAATGCATGTGGATAGCTAGTCCTGCTGTGTAAACTGGTGAGACGCTTCTTTAAGTAACTTGCTGTGAATAAATTCCAGAGAGTCCTTCAATATGCCAAGAAAAGAGAAAAGGATGGACCAATGGTACAGAAAAATTGTTTAGTTTGTTTTACTGTGTTTTGATTTTGACGGCATCCTGAGGTAACAATGTAACTGCCTTTTTTGCCTTCTTTGTTCTTACAAAATAAAATCTTTTAATCCATTTAGAACCCTGGTTTTTATGAGTTTGATGTAAGCAATAAAGGGGAAGATTTATGTTCCTATGCAAAAAGTTTCTACAAATGTCCTCTGCTTTTGCTTTCTTAGTCTCTTAGTTGTTGTGGACAAACTGTCATAATATAAAATGACGGTCGAGAGTGGGGGGGTGGGGGGGTATAACCTGTGTGGTTTTCAAAAATAGTTTCGTCTATTGGGACAAAAACTATCATAAGCAACCATTTAGTATGTTGCTGAATCATAAGTTAACTGTGATTAACTTCAACTTTTAGATCTATAGAACCTTAAAAGGGTTCAACAAATCCTGTCTTGTAAAGAAATTTGCTGCGTAAAAACATAAAAAAAAACATGCAAACTTTCCCAGGAGTGGCAGCCGAGCAAATTCCTCAAAGAGCTTATCAATAACTTACCCGGGAGGCCATAGACGAACCCAGAATAACAGCTAAAGCACTGCAGGCATCAGTGTTCATCACGCAGAAATAATAAAGGGGGACTGGGGTAAAATGGCATCAATGAGAGAGTTTCAAAACTAAAAAAATGTTGCTTCCAAAAGACAAGACCGAGGTCCATTTCATATTAGTCCAAAGACATCTTGATAATCTGAACATTTCAGAATCTCGTCCGTCTTTTCTAACTACAACTAATTCTGCCCACGAAAAAAACCCTGAGGCAAAACAGATAACATTGTTTTAAATTGCATTTCCATCTCAATGAATGAAATTGTCATTTAAAAACACTTTTTTTTATCACATGAAAAGTCTCCCTATTACAGATTTATAGATATGTTATTGATTAATCTGCAAATACTTTACCTTATTCATAAATTTGTATGATGCATAAAACGTATTAGTCATTCAAACATGATATGTTTGCAAAGCCCAATTTGGTTACAAGGTAGTAGCATAGTCTGAAATTATATATAGCAGTAATACTTGATGGAATACATAGTTAAACAGCTTAGGCTCACCAATTATTTAAAAATAGATCAGTTTGTCTCTTTAACTGAGATCTAAAAGGTACAGATTCATTGGTAACATATCTATGAAATTTGTGTCAGCCACCTATTAAGGGATGCCACATCTTAAATTGGCACCATTAACTTTTCAGATCATACTAATAATTTGGTTTAAAAAATCTTAGTTTTAACAATGACTTTCATTTTGTTTTTGTTTTTTTTTAAGTGTCCACTTACACTGTGACTCTAGCTGGCATCTGTACAATAAGGATTTCTACATGAAAGGTTTTGTTAAATAACTGCACTAATCAGTCTGCATCAGAAAGTATGGTGATTCTGTTTCAATTAAAATATATTGAATCATTTTAAACCTTGCTGAATTTTTTAATGAATCCAATGTTAATGAACCAAATATAGTTTTGTATCAGAGAGAAGTAATCTCTTGAATGATCCAACATTTTTGCCTTCTACCACAACCCATCAGTTATCATTAAACCTTTTCCAGAGACCCAAGAAGGCCAAAAGGCCAACAGCTTGTGCTCTTTGTGCACAAACAACTTATCACTCACTCTTGTGTAGTTTTGCTTGAGTTAGTCTCTGATTGCATGCCTGCTTTGTAACTGAACCGGCTGCACACAGGCCACACTCAGACTTCATTGTGTCCAAGGAAGCAAATCAAACAGGACACCACAGTGAGAGGAACAGTGAAAGCTTAGAGAAGAAAAATGACGAGAATGGCACTCGTTCGCCCACCGCTTCCTACTTCTCTGCTCATTGCCCCGAACTCGCAGGCTTGTTTACTCTCTCAACGTGACGGCAACAAAGAAGGAGCTTCTGACATCAGGTTTGCTTTTTTACTCTAAATCTCTAAATCGGTTCTGTATAACAATGCTCAGCGTCTTAGCATACTGCAGCAGAATGCAGTCACTTCATACAGCTTGCATTTTTCCAACTCTGGAAATATACCCTAACCCTGCAGTTATAAGAACTTGTCTCATAAAATGCTAATACGCTTTCAGACATCAGGATTGTAGAAACTGCTGGAAAAAAAGTCAAGTTTGTATTTAGAAGTACAGCAAAATTTAGTCCCTATAAATAATGTTACACCATGTCAACTTTTTAAAATGTTGGCACTCTATTAAATATTTTGTACGAAAAAGGAAATTAATCATGGTTTTCGAAATATGTGCTTTGCATTTTCATCCAGCTTCCATCAGTCAATGCTTTCTAGAAAAACTTTGTTTTAAGTGGGTTCCAACCTAGTTTGTGGTACACTTCAAGGGGGACCTGTTAGCCTTTCTTTCAAGATGTCTCCCTGCTACACCTCCATAAAACCCAGATTAGTGAAATGCATCAATAACAGCTGTCATGTTGATAGATTTTCCCATCTGGGCAGTAAATCCATGCAGCTCCTAAAGTTTTTTTTTTTTTTTTCAGATCCCTTGGTTGCTTGATAAATACTCTTTCAATTTTTGGATGACAGGCGACGCAGTGAAGCAAGAGTTATTAAAAAACTTATATATATATTTTCTTCTTTCTTATTATCTTTTTACTTTATCCTGCTTTAGATTTCTAAGCAATATCATTTAGTCCTGCCTGCTGCCTTCCTTGGTCTTTATGATGCTGTTTTTTCAATAATATTCTCAAATAAAAACAGCATTTGGGACAGGAATCGAACCAGTGACAACTACACTGAGGATATTAGCCTCTGCACATGCTGCACCTGCTCTACCACTGAGACGTGACCCACCCTTTCACACAATGGGCTGGATTTATTGTTGGATTTAACTTAATTTGATGTCAACGGTCTCTCTTTAATAATGTAGGGATTTGGGTGAATACATTTAAAGAGGTATGAATACTGTTGCAGTGCACTGTAATCTGTAATCTGTCTTTCCCTGCAGGTGGTTCCTGCTGGCTCTCATTCAACAGAATGAGTGTTTTTCATCATCCCAAACATTTGATGCCAGGTACATTTCCGTCCAGCAGAGAAACAAATGAGCATCCTACAGTCTGCGTGTCGCCTCCTCTTCCTCTGTCTTCTCCTGTGATCAAGAAGAAAGCTATCTTAATCCCATCGTTTGATGAGAAGGGCCTCATCTTTACAAAGAGCAACTCTAAACTCTCAGCAGCTGACGGGTAAGCAGATCTGTGGCTTGTCTTCAATCTCACAAGATGTTTTGTAATCTGTGATCACTAAATGCATCTTCATTTGATATATTTTTCTTTTTTAGATCAAATGAAGTAATTTCCTCCAAAGCCTCATGTCAGTTCATGCGAGGTAAAGAATGTGTGAATTCACAGAGAAACAACAAGGAGAGAGCTTCAACTCTTCCAAGGTCAAAACCCTCAGCACCCAAGTCCATGACCGCCTCTGTCAAACCTAACATCTGCATTTCCCCTGCTCCACTGCCAAGTTCCTCTCCTACACTCCCATCTCTCAAACCGAGACCAAGGGATTCTCTTCTTTCTCCCGCCTGGGAGTTGGGTGAATTTCATCCAATACCACAACAGCCAGACCCTAAGCCAAGAGTGTCTCCAACTCTGACTGTTCCAACACCCAGGCTGAGCCCCACCCCTTCATCAGCCACCCAAAGCCAACAAGAGAGGCAACCGTCTCCCATTGCTCAAGAGAGAAACGCCAGATCTATTTTCATTTCTAACATGACAATGGGGCCTTCCAAAGACATCAAACATGAAGTTCTTGACCAAGGAACGTTGCTGCATTTTACCCATCCTGGCAAAAAAAACGTCAGCAGAGAGCCCCGGCATACGACTGAGATTTCCAGGCTTCCAGCAACATCTCACAAAGCCTGCATAGTTCAAAGTAAAGTTGGATTGAAGAAAGCAGAAATTACAGATACAAAGACTCTGAACAGAGACCATAATATTGTTACCACTCCGAAACCAAAGCTAATCACCAAACAGCAAAAACAGTGTGAACCCAGCAAAGCAACAAGCAGTTCTGATACTGTTCCACCAATGTCTGATGTCCCTTCTGTGAACTCAAGACTTCTAAGTAGATTAGCAGACAACAGCCTTAAGAACAATTATACTCACACTTCTTTCTGTGCACCATTTAATCAGTCATTTGTGCAAACAGATCCCAATAAAGGAACAAAGTTGACCCAACTGTCCCCTTGTACAGATTCTCAGAATAGTCTTTATTCAGACAAAAGTGAAACAAGAAGAAAATTTGACCATGACACTGAAAAAAGGAGAAAAGAACGAGAAGCTCAATCTCTAAAAAGCAAGTCCCCTCAGCATCAAATATCTCTACCAGACCAAACGCCCAGCCACTCCACCCAGACAGATGTAAAAAGTGCAGTAAGCTGGTCTGAGAAATCATTAGGGGATTTAAGCTGCCAGTCAAGAGACCTCAGTCAGATACTTCAGAAACATTGGAGTGGACAGAGATTAAATCAAGTTAAGACGTCCATGGGGGCATCTCAGAGCCTGGGGACCTTCCAGCCTGTTTCTGATGAATCTTTGAATTCTCAACATGGATCCTGTTCAAACATTGACAGAAGACTTACACATCTCTGGAATCAGGAGCTGACAAAAGAACGAGAAAACCAAAAGGACATTAACTTTAGTCACAGAGCTTTAAATCAAACAAGTGTTTTTAAAACACCTGAACACAATGAGGCTGCAAAAGCATTACCAAAAAAACCCTGGGCCCCAACAGTGGCAGAATGCCCATTTAAGACAAACAGACCAAGTAATAACTTCAAGAGAGCCACTGACTGGCTGCAGCAGGCATTTCACCAGCCTTCAGAAGAGACCGCTACACCTGGTCATCAACAAAACCATCAACCAAACTACTCTGACCTATACAGAGCATTTATCACTGAAGATTCAGAAGACCCTTATTACGTCACTATGCACTACCCAGATTCAGTGTATGTAGGTGAGTACAAACATGTCCAAAACACAATAAATACTTCATTCAACCAAAGTCAATCCATGGAGTGACATATTACAGTACCTCTGTTTTAATTTCAGAGAGGAGTACACATATATAGTGTGTAGGGGGTGGAGCTTAGGCGAGTGTGGTGGTTGAAGAGGATAGCAGAGGGTTGGAAGACACTGGTCCTTATCAGCAGACAAACAGACAGGCTGAACCGAGATGTGACCACATTAGTTAGCAGACTCTGTAAAACCAAAGAGCACTAGAAAACATGCCAATGCAGTCCTCCACACGGGCATATAAACACAGCGAAAACATGCAGGAACCACGGAAGCAGAGGGACGTAAGGAGAGCAACTGTGAGATAAAGTGTAAGTAGTGGGTGAAAGAGCTTCTCTTCTAAAGGGTAGTTGACATAAATATGGCTTTATCTGGTGGACTCTTGGATAAAAGAGCTCAATGAGATGAGAATGTTTCTGCAGTGTCTTGTGAAGGTATAAAACCAGTTAGGTAGCATTTTTCTTGAGATCAATTTGACATTGGATTTGGAGTTTTGAATTATATTCATTTAAATGGCTTTTGGACAAAAAAAACAAAAAAAACATTAGAAGAACAATGTCCAAAATGTTGTTTCTTGTGCCAAAACTAATAGAAATCCCCCCTGCACTCTTTATTGAGCTTTCTTACAATTCAAATACTTAACCTTTACAGGAGGACTTGTCTCGTGTTATTTATTTACTATGTCATAGGAGCTTAGCAAAGCTGTTCATGGCCCTTTAGGTTTTTAAAATTTAGTAACATTACAAACCTAACATCTATGCAGGTTATAGTGATTTTATAATAGATCAGCATAAAATGGTGAAAAATTGTGTGGAAGGAAAATATTTCTAGTTTTCATAAAGAGCTTTTCAAACTCAAAAACCTAATAGTTTGCTGTCTGATCCCAATTTACTCTTATATGCCTAAATAACATTCCCTTCAACCCATTGCCTTCAGAAGTTACTTATTTTAGAGGGAATTGGATCTTCAGGACACATTGACATGGCAGACAGGATAGAGATCAAATTGGAGGGTAATCCAATGCTTTCATTGTTTCTGGAGGAGCTGCAGAGATCGAGAGCTAAGGGGAAGAATCTTTTTCAATAGCTTCCTTTTTATCATTAGGCAAATATGGTTCATTGGGGCGGTTGCCAAAAGAAAAGCCATAAGCAATCAGTTTTCACTTTTTTGTCACAAGCCAAGTAGAAAAAAACCTAGGCAATGTGTGGAAGAAGTTCTTTTATGTATTAAATAACCAGGAGACATGACAACATTTTCTGATAGAAATTGTAATCTTACTCAGATCAGAGAAGTTGTTTAGAATGTACAGAAGGCAGCTGCTCACCTCCGGGCCCTGATAAAGAGTTAAAAAGGCATTTTATACATCTCTAGTCTGCCACATCATCTTATTTAACATTATACACGTTAGCAGATGATTAGCCATCCATGGTTTCAGCCTTATCAAAATATTACACTTCGTTCTTAGCTGAAGGACACCGCTCTCATTCCATTTCCAAATCTTTGCTGCGTACAGAATGAAGATTATAACTCTATATCCAGACTGAGGAACTGTCCTAATAAGATTAAAACATCAGTTCTCTCTCGCAACAGGCAGTCAATACCAAGGTGTAATAAACTCACTCATCTTCAATGATAATTATTCTAACAAGTGGCAGCATCATGCTGCTGGGGGTGTTGACTATGTTTTACTTGTAAGATTAGATTCAAAGCTAGATTCAAAGGTACCTTTGAATCTAATTTGGCAGAATTCAAATGTTAAAGGCAACACACTTCAATAATATTTTAGGTTCAGTGCTTTAACGTTTGCTTAACTTTGAATTCTATGTTATTGTAACCGGGAATCTTGTTTTTTTTTTCTGATTGTGTGGAAGCAGTTGTGGCTTATAACTTGTAATGAATGAATTACAAATTTTAAGCTTCTTAAATAAAGCATCATATGTTTGATTTAAAGGTAAATTTGTAATCTGCATCTTAAGCTAACCCTATCTACTTCAGGGACAGTAGCAGTCAGCCTGCAGCCTTGGTGGTCACTCCAAAAAGCAAGCTGCTGTCTCAACATTAGGCCACCTAGTGACTTAACCATAAGTTGTAGTAACCTTAAACATACAAAGAATTAAATAATTATCTTTATTGTCGTTGTAGAAATAGTACGATGTTATTTGATTTGACAGCATCTCCTGAATAATAATTTGTATCTTTAAAATTGAACATTAAAATAAGACTAAATAAAAGTTGACCCTGAAAGTTGCTTTTTACTCTATAATTGGTCGCGACTCAACCAAAAATGCTAAAGATTTCAACTACAATGGTGTCTTGCACTGACTTATAATTATCCCTATATTTAAACCATAGTTTTTCAAGGTCACACAACTGAAAATTGTTTTTGTAGCCTAAAAAAAGGAAGTTAGATTTTTTTTTTTACATTGTAACTGTAGATAGTTACAGTGTGTAGCTGTGGTGGGCTAGGTGTTAGACTTTGATTGTGTTTTTTTTCTTTATTGCAAGCATCAATGATTGCATTTGTATCCCTGTTGTGCTCCCACTGGGAGTACCACAAGGATGTACTCTGGGCCTACTGCTTTTTTTTTTTTCTCCGGAGCTGCATTTACTCTCAGCTCTTTATGTAATGTTTTTGTTTCTTTTTTGCAACTGACTGAAAGGGTGCTAGGCCATGCGTTTCCCTGGGGTTGTTGTTTTGACAAGTTGAGACTGATAATACTAAATCTAATTAATTTAGATAAAGTTTAATTCATATTATTTTAGTTGCAGGAAAACTACAAAGTATTGAGGTTTCCTACCAAGCTGCCATAAAGTGGGTGCAAAAATAATTTATATTTTTTTTACATTTCTGTGGTCTATATATTCTATAGTACCAAAAGTATTTGCTCATCCATCCAAATTACTTGGAATCAAGTGCACCCAGGCATGCAGACTGTTGTTACATTTGCTACATTTGCTCGTCGTTCTCAGGAGCTCAGCAAATTTCCATGTAGAACTGTGATAGGTTGCCAACAGTGTAACAAATCCAGCTGTGAATTTCCCTCACTTCTACGTATTTCATAGTCAAATGTCAGCTGTATGGTTATAAAATGGAAGTGTTTGAATGACAGCAACTCAGCCATGAGGTGGTAGGCCAGTTAAACTGGTGAGTCCAGATTTAAAGGTCGCTACTTGTCTGACTGCATTGTGCAAAGTGTAAAGTTTGGTGGAGGGAGCATTATGGTGTTGGGATGTTTTGCAGTAGCTATGCTTGGCCCCTTAGTCCCAGTGAAAGGAACTCTGAATGCTTCAGCAAATCAAGAGAGTTTGGAAAATTCTATGCTCCCAACTTTGTTGGAAGTTTGGCCTGATCCCTTCCTTTTCCAATGTGTCTGTGGACCAGTGCACAAAGGAAGGTCCATGAAGACATGGATGGTTGAGTGCAGTGTGGAAGAAGTTGACTTGCCCTCATAAAGTCCCGACCTCGACCTGACAGAGCGCTTTTGGGATGAATTAGAGTTGAGACTGAAAGCCAGGCCTTCTCGTCCAACATTAGAGTAAGACCTCAGAAATGGTCAAAATTTCAGATGAACACACTTTTGTGGACAGCCTTCCCAAAAGAGTTGAAGCTTTTTTAGCTGTAAGGGGTGAACTGATGCCATATTGAACACCTATGGATTAGAAATAGGATGTCACTTAAGCTCCTATGTAAGTCAAGGCAGGTCTACCAATACTTTTGGCAACATGTTGTATGAATATGAACCACACAAGAATATGTAATGTACTATAACATGTTTTGAAATACGAATGCAATAAAATTAAGTTTGATATTAAATCTTACGTTGATCTATCCAACAATACTTTAAAAAATACTACTTTATCAAGAGAAATACAGCGATATGCAAAGGTTTAAAGGCATTCGAACTGGAAATAGAAAAGAGCTACTTTGCAATCAAAGCATATCAGTCCTGGATACGAATTAGCATATTGTGAATCAACCTAAAATTATCCTGATTAATGTAATTCCACCTTTGGGAGTTTTCGGTCCGCTGTTGTTCACATAAAACTAACACAATTGCTTTGCTAGATTTGCTTTTTCTAACAAGTTCAACTAAAATAAGAGCATATTTTTTATCAATTTGGCATCTTTCATTCACCACGACTTTACTTTCAAATTAATAATAATAATAATAATACACTTAATTTATACTCCACTTTCCATCAAAATATCTCAAAGTGCTAGTGGTAAAAAGAGAAAACCATGAAATAACATGTAAAGGGGACCAAAAGAAATGTTTTAAGGCCTTTTTAAAACACTCAGTGGATTGAGGCGTCCTCAAGGTGTCAGGGAGGACATTTCAAAGATGTGGGGCAGCAGCACAAAATTGTTCTGAGTCTTGTTCTCAGAATGTAGAGGAGGTTTGAAAGAGTGGAGCAAAGGGAGCGGGTTGTGTTCAGTGGGCTGATAAGTTCTTTGAGGTAGGGGGCAGGGATGCATTGATGTGTGAGGAGGGAAACCTTGTACTAAATCCTGGTGGAGATAGGAAGCCAGTGTTATGAATGGAGAATGGGGATAATGTGCTCATGTTACCGCACTCTCATCAGGATCCTAGCTGCAGAGTTTTGAATGTACCGGAGTCTCTGCAGAATCTTTGTAGGAATCCCAAATGAAAGTGCATTGCATAGTCCAGTCTGGAGGAAAGAAATGCATGAACTCTCCTTCCCATGCGTCTGGCAAGGGGAGAATTGGACAGAGTTTGGAAACGTTATGGAGGTGGTAGAAAGAGGTCTTGCATTGGTGATTTATATGGGCTTCAAAAGTGAGTTGGAAGTCAATTTTTACTAACTGTTAATGATAGCGGGATGTTAGTACCAGAAAAGGTGATGCTGGTTATGGATAATTGGTTTGATGAGTTCCAACCACGATGGTTCGGTTTTGGAGCTATTGAGTTAAAGAAAATCCATAACACTATTCTAAGATGTAATTTTTTTTAGCCCTTGCACAATAGCATTCTTAAAGGTCAGCACATCAGATGCTTTTATTTGCTTTAAGAATATAGTGCAAGTTGTTTATTTTCCTTTTTTTTTGCAGTATTTCTAAAACTAAAACGCCAAATTATCCAGAGGTTAATCAAATTATGCAAAAGTCTAGACCTATAAATAGTATGGAAGCCCGTTTCTGCCACTCTGTTAAAAAA